CTTCACCCCTCTCCCCTCTTCTTCTTTCCCCCCCTCCTCCTTCCCCCCTCTCCCCTCTTCCCCTTCCCCCTCCCCGACCCTCGTCAGCCCACAGACCTCCTCCCGCGACCTCCCCCCACCTCGCCGGCTGGGGACCCCAGAGACCCGCACAGAACTCGGGCCCTACCCTCCTCAGAGACCCCGGAGCTCCCCACCCTCTCCTGCCAGGGACTCTAAGACCCCTTAAACCCACAGACCGCCGAGACCCTGGAGACCCCACCCCGACCAGCCAGCCGGAGACCCCTTCAGCCCACAGACTCCTTCTATCTGGCTTCCCTTCCTTAGCCCAGGGGCCCCTCAATGTACAGACCCAGGACCCCCAGCTTTTGGCAGACTAGAGACCCCAGCACCCCCACCTCGCCCTGCCTAGAGACCCCAGCCCCTCCACTCCTCAGTCCCTCACTTGCCCAATTCTAAACTTCAGGTCACCACGGGGTCCCTGGCGCCCCTCCCCGCTTCCAAAACACACCCTCTTCCCTTCACCTTCAGACTTAATACCCTTCTTACCCCTTACCCTTATCCCAGGCCTTCTGCACCACATGGCCCGAGGCCTCAACTCCTTCAGCCCCTGAATCCACCATAACAAGTCCCCTTATTCCCACACACACTCCTCCCCAAATTCACCATCTCCTAACGACCTCTTCAGCGAGAATTCTCACTCTCCTACTGGGCTCACTTCCCTCATTTACTACCCAAATAAGTATATCCTGATGCATCCTTTAGTCCCTCTTTTTTATTCTTTGACACCCCAGTTGTCAACTGTGCTCTGCAGTCTTCTCTGCTCCCCAGTACCCTGTCTGAAACACTGATCCAAAAGGGACCCCACCCCCACACACATCCAAAAGATCCCTCCCCATATCTGTTTCCTAAGGAGAGGCAAAATGGTGGTAGGTATTTTATTTTGTTTTTCTGTGTCTAAATAAGGGGACGAAATAAACTCAGGAAAAGGAAAGACAACAAGTACTTGAGAAGCTGGGATTCACGTCCATTACTACCTCAGCACGGAGAGCAAGAGTTTTTAACATTGATGATGATGGTGGTAAGTGCTGAGTATAAATGTGCCATGCACTGAGCTAAGTGCTTTACATACATTTTTCTCATGTATCCTCACACCATGCTTGTGCAGATGAAGGAACTGAGGGATGGGAATTAAGTAATTTGCCTAAAATCCTACAGCAAGTGATGAAGCCCAGGTCTGACCTCTGGGCTTCTGGGAATCTGACTCCAGAAACTGTTTGTATCCTTTTCTGGGCCAAAGATCCCTCAACATTTTTGCATACTATTCCAGGAGGCAATCTCATGGGAGCTTGGTCTAACCCTTTAGGGAAAGAAGCAAAGTCTCTATGGTAACTAAACCCAGGACATTTTCTTATTTGTACTTAGTTCAGGAAAATAAGAGATAACAGCCACTGCGGAGCTGGGCATAAGGCAGAATAAGGACAGGTGTGGATTAAGGCCTCAGTCACTGGACAGGAAGAGAAAAGATTGAGGGCAGAGGACACATTATTTTGAATGAGGAAAGAAATAGCCTGGTGTCGCGAGGTGTTTGTGGCAAGTAGGAGAAAAGTCAGCCTGAATGAAAGACTAGTCTAACCGTGCACTCCCTTCCCACTCCATCCTGGCTAGGGTGCCTACAGGCCTCAACCTGTTGGATGCAGCCCTGGCTCATGAGAATCCATTCAGCCCAAAGTTGAACCAATAAGCGCTGTGATTCTTCTCTGCTGTTGAATAGCAAGCCATCTTGGGGTGAGTACCGCCTTCCTTCAAATGCTATTCTTGGCTTAGACACATGCAGATTCAACGGGTGTTTTTATTACTTGGCTGTAAACCTGGGGTGACTACTTGGTCTGTGATGTAAGAAAGTGGTGGCATTTCTGCTACACTCATATTGTTTTCATCTGCATGAATTTGGGGATGGTCACTTTCAACTTTTTACAACATTCAGAGGAGCATACAGTCTCACAGCCTACCATACTCCTAAGGTTTCCACAGATATGTGAATGGGTGGGAGAAGAGAGGCAAATTTAATCTAACAGGACTTCTAGAGGCTGGGCGGTTAGCTCAGTTAGTTAGAGCACAGTGTTGTAACAGCAAGCCATACCACCCAGCCGCCAAAAAAACAGACTTCTTGCAGGAAGGGAAGAAGCCAAGTGTGCGTTCATGTGCAGATAATTGCTCCACGCACGGAGTTGAAGTGTGAAGTCCATCCTGCCTGTCAAAAACAGGGTGACCCCCCAAAACAAGGATACCTGTCAGTTCTGTTACTGGCAGTCATTTAAGCTGTAATTGAAGCCCATTCATGTACTGAACAAGACTTTGCTGATCTCATGGAAAGTGCATGAGACTCTTGAGTCAAAGGGCGTCAAGAATCAAAAGCCTCCACTGACTCACTCTAAGGCTTTGGGCAAGTCACTCTGCCTTAGTTTCCAAATCAATAACATGAGAAGAATTATTCTTTTTTTTTTTTTTAATTGATATTGTATTCACCTAAGTCTCACAGCGCTAAATGCCATCAGGTGAGGGAAGAATTTGGGAAGGAGGACCATCGAAGGGAGCACCAGGTCTTCTTTACTCTTCTTTCCAAAGATGTGTACTACCTCAGAGAGGAAAGAGGAAGGAAAAATTCTGGCAGCTTCGTCCTGCCACACCCCTAAAAAAAAAAAAAAGTGGAGGATGGTTTAAGGAACTAATTCCTCCCTTTTCCCCCAACTCAAGGCAAATATTTGTGTTTCCAGAAGAGGGAGTAAATATTTTCTTTTTTTCCTTTTTTTTTGGTGGCCAGACGGTAAGGGGATTCAAACCCATGACCTTGATGTTATAAGGCTGTGCTCTAATCAACAGAGCTAACCGACCAGCCCCCGTATATTTTCTTGGCCATCAGTCTTGTGAAGCTGTTTGATCCTCATCTGGAGAGGGATAGAAAGGAGGGGCTGGTTGTACACAATTGCAACAACCCGGGTTCCCACATCTCAACTCTAGCACCGAGAAAGAGTGCAGACAATTCACAACTCTGGGACTGAGCAAACCAAAGCAAGGCAGCTTTAATCTAGGTGATTAGTGCGTGTATGGCTGGTGGGCATCGTGATCCAAACAATTGACTTGGGGTCACAATTCCGTGCTAACCAACTGAGTTAACAAGCCTGCCCCAATCTAAGAGGTCTTATTTTAAAGTGTGGAACATCCAGTTTCTTCCTCATTACTGTCTAGTCAGCAAGATGGGTTGGTAAAAATTAAGATTATCATTTAACCTCCTAGTTTAAAAGACTCCAACAGCTTCCTGTCATAGCATTATGGAATAAAATCCACCCTCTTTTCTCTGGCCTCCAAGGCCACAGCTGATCTGATCCAGCCTCCCTCCATAACTCATCTAATCTCTCTGCTGCTGTGTGCCAGCTGCACCAACCTTCTGTTTCTCAAACATGCTAGTCTGTTCACACCTGAGGGCCTCTGCTGGGAATGCTTCTCCTTAGCATGGCTGAAGTCTCTAGCTGTTCACAAAAATCTGGTTTCTCTCTGGGCCGGCTTGTGGCTCACTCGGGAGAGTGCGGTGCCTGATAACACCAAGGCCACGGGTTCGGATCCCATATAGGGATGGCCGGTTTGCTCACTGGGTGAGCGTGGTGCTGACAACACCAAGTCAAGGGTTAAGATCCCCTTACCGGTCATCTTTTAAAAAAAAAAAAAAAATCTGGTCTCTCTCCACAGTGGTAGGATTGCAGCCAGGCACAGTGCTAGACTACATTTCCCAGCCTCCTTTGCAGTAGGCACGGCTATATATACAGTCGAGTCCTCTCCAGTGGACAGAAATGAAGTGATCCACTACCAGGCTGGGCTTCTAAGTGAGTGGGTATTCCTCTTCTATGCTGTTTCTTCTTCCACCAGATGGGATAAACAAGATGTAAGGAGCCTTGTTCCCTGAAGCACTGCATGGAGGAGAGCAGCCCATCAACCAGGAACATCTGCCTTGGACTGTAACATAGGCAAGATACAAACTTTTGTTGTAACAAATTATTGAAATTTGGGGCCTCTTTATTCCCTCAGCCTAGCCTAACCTAATACATCCCAATCCTCACCTGGCAGGAGTCGTCTTGTCAGTCAGGACTCAATTTAAATATTACCTTCTCAGACGATCTTTCTTCTTGATTACTTAACAGTAGCCTCTGCTCCCTCCCAGCCTATCAGTCTACTAAATTTTTTTTTTTTTCCTTTTTTTTGTCTTTTTTCGTGACTGGCAACGGATCACAACCCTCAGTGTCGCGCCCATACTGGACCGGGACCGGCAACGGGATTGCAACCCTCGGTGTTGCGCCCGCCCCTCGCTCAGCCAGTGAGCGGCCGGTCTGTACGTGGGATCCGAACCCTCGGCAGGAGCGCCGCCGCGCTCCCAAGCAGCGCACTGTAGCAGTGCGCCACCGGGCCGGCCCAGTCTACTAAATTTTCATTGTAGAATTTATCTCTACTTGGCATCATTTTCTGTTTGTCGTCACTGTCCAGAGACTGCAACACTGTAAGCTCCGTGGGAATGTGCATCTTTGCTCAGCTCAATGCTGTGAGTCTGGTACGTGCTACTCAATGTTTATTGAAGGAATATCTTCTAATCACTTTTTTCTGATCAGTTGTCAATTCAGTTGGGATGCAGAAACATTTTTACCTGGCCATGGAAGTAAAAGGACAGAAAGAGAACAAAGGACAAATGTAAGGTTGCTTCTCTTTACACCTGATTTGGGACTTTCCATTCTAGGAAGATAACGGATAAGGAACTATAGTAAAAGTCTATACAACCACTAGCAGAGAGGTGCTGTTTGCTTATGTCTCAATTTAGTCTGATGTGTGAGTATAATAATAAAAAGTTCTACTGCACACAGAAGCCTGCAAACTTACTTTGTTTTTTGTTTGTTTGTTTATTTATTTTTTTACATTCTATGTTGTTAAACTTACTATGGAATGCCATCTGTCTTTTTTTTTTTTTTTAAAGATGACCGGTAAGGGGATCTCAACCCTTGGCTTGGTGTTGTCAGCACCACGCTCAGCCAGTGAGCAAACCGGCCATCCCTATATAGGATCCGAACCCGTGGCCTTGGTGTTATCAGCACCGCACTCTACCGAGTGAGCCACAGGCTGGCCCGCCATCTGTCTTAAATCTACATAAAACTCAAAGTCAGCAGTCATCCTGGTCTAGAATTGCTAAACCTGCAAATGGACCTCAATGACCTGGCTGGGTCAGGTACAGTTCTGCCACTAGCTATGTCACCCACTAATGGCAGAATTCCTCAGTGCCTTTGAAATGAGGAAACTGAGGCAGCATAATGGTGTTCATGGATTTATTCATTCAAAACATGTCTGAGTGGCTGCTATGCACAAAACATAGTTCTAGGTAAAGGATATAACAGAGAAAAGGGCAGACTTAAATCCCTACCCTCGTGGAGGTTACATTTTATTTATTTTTAAATTTTTTATTTTTTAAATATTTTAGTTTTTATTTTATCATTACACAATGTAAACATTTTTTGTGGCCCTTTACCAATTTCTCCCTAACCTCCCTTTCCCTCTTCAAGGAGCTTACATTTTAATGGGGGAGAAAGATAATAAAGAAGGAACATAAGTGAAACAGTATGTTAGGTAGTGGTTAGTGCTAAGGAGAAAAATGAAGGGAAGTGTCATAGGAAGGGGCTATGGCTACAATTTTAGATAAAGTAGCCAGAGGAGGCCTCACTAAGGTGATATGCTGTCATTATCACCTTAGTGAAGCTTTCTCTGGCTACTTTATCTAAATACTTTATCAAATATTTTGTTTACCACATATTGACTGTACATATTTATTTATTTATTTATTTATTTATTTATTTATTTATTTA